TTGTTGGTTATACTTCTTAGCTCTCTCCCCAATCCGCTATAGTATACAAAGAAAATTCTTTATCATCTTTCTAAATTCGTTTTTTAATTACATATCCTTTTCCTCTCGCTACTTTAAATCTACTCTTTCTAAAATGCTGCGCTTGTAGCCGCATCCTATATTGGCCATGGGCTCGTATGGAGAAAAACTGGGTTTCGAAGAATCCATTAGTGATATATTGTGTCATGACTTTTCAGTTGGAAGGAAATGTTGGTTGGAAGTAAAAGTTGGTTGGAAGGACTTCCTGATGTGGTCTCACCGGAAACTACAGGAGGACAAGATATATGCATGTGTGTGTCGCTAATATCTAAGTAAAAGTAGAGATTTAGTAATTATGCTATGAAGATTGGTACTAAATCAGTAGGCAAAATGCACAAGTTCCTATCATATAAATTAATAAGAAATTGAGTCAGATAAAGTACGATGAATAAAGATTTCGAATTATATACTACTGAAAATCTACTGAGTTTAATTCATTTTGATAATGCAATAAGAAATATGCACTATCCAATGAACTTCGTAGTAGAGTTTAGCTCCAAGTTTTCATGACGAATGGATTGCCATTTCAAGCGTCTTGTTTTCGCAACCTGGTCGTATACGTCAGAATTCTGTCGGCTTCTTTCGACCTAAAGGAGCCTGCCTATCTGGTGGTGAGAGTGGATATATGCAGACAAAACATATTTTAGTTTGAGTCAAAATACGAGTACCTCAAAGAAGTTATTAGAAAAGCCTAAGACTTCGTAAACTATATGAAAAGCTGGATTTAACGGCGTCTGATGAAGGATGAGAAACGCCGTCTAGAGCGTCCTCGGAGTGAAGCTTTACGCGAGCATAAAGAAATTGTATAATGGTCTGGAATTAATGCTTTATCAAGTTTCGGATAGAGCCTGGAAAAATATTCATTCCTTATATTTCCTTTTTGCCCACATACGAACTGCAGAATGGTGCATACAAGGACTTCTTCACAGCACATTTATTCGCAGCCAACAATTTGTTCGCCGAACAAATTATTTGTCCGTGCCTACTTAATCAGATCACTATGAATGGAGATGGAGGAGGGCAGACAGTTACTATTTTTGGATGTAGAGTTCATTCGCTCCCAGGAGACGCCAAAGTAAAAGTTATTCTAAAAGGAATTCCATGTAGGAATAGTGCTAAATTATGGAGGAAGACTGGGTTTCGAAGAATTTCTCAGTAATACAGTGTTACATGATTTTCCATTTAGAAAGAAAAGTTGGTTGGAGGAAATTCGTGAAATGGTCTCACCGAGGACCGAAGAAGGATTGCCGCGAAGTAAAGGCTGATGAATAAATCATCGACTCACCATCTTGCGACCCAAATGAACCTGTGCCAAGCATTCGTCTGTCAAGTTATAGACATCATCAGAGCAAGAATTTATACTTTACGAAATAGAGCAAAAATATACTAAGCCAAGAGAAGAAGTGACCGACTGCGATCCTAGTCACTTATTATATCTAACCTTGTGATTTTAATTAGGCATCTCTTGATTTTTTTGG